CCACTGGCATGCACCATACACCCCTGAGGCTGGGAGCTGTCACTTGATCCGGGCTCCCAGCTGCAGGGGCATACCTTCCGCTCCTGTGGCTGGGAGTCCTGTCCAGTGATCTGGGCTCCTAGCTGCAGGGGCATGAGGTTGGGAGCTGTCAGTTGGTAGGGCTCCCAGATGTGGGGGGGCACCATGCACTCCCATGGCTGGGAGCCCTGTCAGCTGATCCAGGCTCATCATGCTTCCCTGTAGCCAGGAGCCCTGTCAGCCGATGGGGATCCCAGCCCCAGGGGTGTACTATGTGCTGCAGGGGCACATGGTGTGCTCCCCTCTGGTTGGGAGCCCCATCAGCTGACAGGGCTCCCTGCTGCAGGAGCTTGCTTGTTGCAGTAAGGCATGATGGGATCTGATGCTTGATCCCACAATCACATCTTCTGCCATGCATCCCTGGCATACGTTATACATTATAATCTGCCTGGCAACTGACTCCCCAGCCCAGCCCAGCCCCTGGCTTTTTTACTTTTCATTCCATCCAGGAAGAGCACACACCAACTGCTGAAACTTCCTTAGCCTGATGAAGGGTTTTTGAACCTGAAAGCTTGCTTAATAACTATTCTCCAACTATTTGGGTTGGTCTACTAAAATGTATCAAATTCACCCAAGGAACCTTGTCTGTCTAATGAACTTGAGCACTTAAAGAAACTTGAAGTCTAGAGATGTGCGTACATTAAAATGCATTCACATGTTTATATGTTTAAGAAATATGTTTGTTTGCTGACAGATTTAGAAATGGATAAAGGATTTAGATTTTAAATATTTCTATTTACAAATTTACTTATTTTCTATTTATTATGGTACAGCTAGCAGCATACTGAGCACTTTGGCATGATAAGTTATTGTTTCTAGACAAGTAACCTGCTGTGACTTACCCCATCTCTTTTATATTGCCCCTGTCAGCATTTCTGGACACATGCAACTGTAAGATCATTATACCTATACCCTGCTCAACTCTTTACCTACTGTGGAATTCACTCCTATTTATTTTTTATGTTTATTTTCTCCCATTAAAATACAGGGGAGGAATGATACATCAAAACTATTCATTAACTGGAGATATACTTCCCCTTGTATATTTAATGAGATAAAGTAAATATTTAAAACCAGAGCAACAGGTACTGAGCTGCTCTGGCAGGAAAGTCTTATTTTTTAAGGAGAAATGAGTGACCTTCTCTTTGTCAAGCACTACAGCAATTAATGGGTCTTACTTCCAATTTAACGTTTTGTACAAGAGAATCTTGCTTGTGGGCCATAGATCTTTTTGTTTTAGAAATGGTGAAAAATCATCCATTTATAACCTGACACCCATGGCCATACAGTGAGAAAAATAAGTGTTCCACTTAGTGATATATTGCTGCAATGGTAAAATGCGCAAAAATGAAACTTCTGGGAAAAGAAAACCAATATATGTGTATTTATACTTGCTCAAATAGCAGCATGTCATGAGGAAAATATGCACCCAGTGACAAATTGACAGATCAGCAAGAAAACAAGTGTATGTAACACACAAGAGTGGGAAGGGAAAATTTAGTTTTCTTGGATTCTCTTGGGATTTTTAAAATTAAACTGTGTGTTTTATTACCAGATATTTTTTTTTTTGTTCTTTTAGAAGCTAATTTTAAAGGTTAATTTAATTCTTATCAATTGTAGAACATCCGTTTGAGAATCATTAACTATTCTGGACTGTTTTCATGGTGCCAGGAGATATATAGAGCCACTGCATGCTACTAAGCTATTTTGTGTCACTCTTGATGATAATATGACAGTGTAACATTAGAAACTATTGCCTACCTGTCTTTTATGTGAGGAACTATGCCATATCAAGAGTATTCAAGTAAGTCATCCAGTTAAACCATAATTATATTATATCTATGCATCAACAATTTGTTTTGAAGACAGTGTTATATGGGTTACTGCCTGCTTTGGTGATATGAGTGTGGCTTCTTTTGATGACTAGCTACACTAAGCCATTAATCATTCACGTGTTTTAATAATTACTTTATTGTTCATAAGCTTTTATTGATGGTTCCTGACTGAATTGTAATACTGATATGAAGTCGATTTTTCAGTGTAGAGTCTGTACTATTTTTCACCGTACAATACTGTTACTGTTAGTTATTTAACACATTGTGTTAAGTACCTAAACACATCTGCTTTGGGTATCTTATAGTCTGTGGCCCTAATTTTGATAAGACTTCAGTTTGAAGAATGTAGAATCACTGAATTAAACAAAATTACATAAGGCATTCCAGTACTCACCTGCATATTTCATATTGAAAACTTAATAGTTTGGAGGATTTGGCATTCTCATCATCACGATGAATGTTTGTTTTTTTTTGAACAGGCAACTTTGAGGTGCATGCTTCCTGGAGCTAATCTGATACTTGAAACAGAGCGTACTTTCTTAGCAAATTAGTAATAGTTGGTTAATAAGTAGTGTTTGATTCAGAAAATCTAACTTAGCTGTCTTTTATCGCATGTGTCTTTGTTTGTTTATATTAGATAAAAGTGTTGTCTGCTAAATAATTTATTTATGCATTCAGAAATAAGAAGTAGTATCTCTTTGATTTTAAGATGCTAAGATTTGTAGTAAAGGCCTAGATCCTTTTGTTTTGTATGGTTGGAATGTTGTTAGTACACTGGGAACTTTGGGTATTTTTACACATGCTCCAGGAGGCGTGGGGGAGGAAGGGGGGGCACAGTAATTAGCGAGCTGCACTTATTAAAAGTGCCCAAGCATCATGTGTATTAGCATCCCCTGCACAGAAAAATGGCGGTGGGGAGCTTTGAACTAAAGCTCATTTAACAAGCTTTAGTTCAAAGCACCCCACCACCATTTTTCAGTGTAGGAATGCTGATACCTGTGACCACAGTATTTTCTGAGCGCCAGCAGACTCTATTAATTGAGTCTGCTCCAACGCACTGGATTTCCAGCGTGCCAGAGCCAGCTTTCTACACATCTATAGGAGTCCATTAAGACCAGAGATTACCATATGAAGTACATAAAACATAAGTAAAATATTCCA